ATCAAATAAGAACTTTAAGTGGCTCTAACTTGACTAATTTAAATACAACCCCATATTTTTTAGCTTACCAGGAAATGCAGTTTTTAATTACCTATCAAATGGTACTAGGATGTTTATAACTAAGTTTTTGCCTTTTTACAAAATACACCAAATAATGGTTCTGTGCACCATTTGGTGTTTTTTTATTAAAAGGTTAAATAACATATCAACAATAACATAAAACAAAGGCAAATTATTTATAACAAATGTTCGAAATGTTGACCGTCAATTTCCAGGCACTTCTTTTGAAAAATTCTTTTTTCAAAACAACTGCTAACTCTGGACAAAATTTGCACATGTTATGCATGCAATGTTACAGTTTTAAAAGCGTCTCTTATGCGTGTTTTCAAATCGTGTGAAGTTGTCGGAAGCGTATGGTAGACAATTCCTTTTATGTACCCCACAAAAAGAAATCTAGTGGAGTTAAGTTCGGAGATCTGGGAGGCCGATTTTCAAACCCATTTCTGCCAATCCACCTGTTATGAAAGTTGACATTTAAAAATTGCCGAACTTCGCAGTGATAATGAGGCGGAGCACCATCCAATTGAAGCCACATGTCGATTCAAGAAACCATTTAAATGTCCTTCAAAAAATAGGGTCCAATTAAATATTGGCCCAGTATTCCACCCCACACATTAACTGACCACCTATTGCGCGCGGATTCGTACCAGAATAATAATGCAAGTTGTGTCTATTCACGAGACTGAAAAACTTTTAATTTTCTGCCACTTTATCCAACACCCACATACAAAACTCAGTTCCATTTTCAAAATCATTTCCATAAAGTTCTTGGCAATGCTGAATTTTATAAGGATAAAAGTTGTGCTTTTTGATAATTCTGGAAATACTTGATTGACTAATGTTAGTACTTTTGGATATTAGATTTTGACTAACATTGGGATTTTCGATAACTGAACCAATTACCGCGAAAACATTTTCTTCATCTTCAGTGACAGATTTCCTTGTAATGGGTTTTTTATAATTGGCACTCCCAGTTTCCTCAAATTGGTGTAATAAGCGCTTAAAAACTGTTGGCTTAGGATGATTTCTTTCAGGAAACTTTTGAGCATAAACTCGAGAAGCCAATAAACAATTTATATGACATTCTCCAAGGGTGAAAATCATGTCAATACGCTCTTCTCTTGGATAATTCCTCATTTTAAACTAGCAACACAATAATAATATTAAAATAACGACCAACACGTTTACAATTGCAAAAAACAATACCACTCTAGCTATCAAAAAGAGACTTTGCAGTCTAAACTGACAAATAAAATAAATAATTTGACATGTGTAAATGGCATAGCCAACTTAGATACATTGGAACCTTAAATTAAACATCACCAAATGGTGCACAGAACGACTATTTGACGTATTTTGTAAAAAGGCAAAAACTTAGCTATTAACATCCTAATATCATTCGATAGGTAATTAAAAATTTCATTTCCTGGTAAGTTAAAAAATATGGGGTTGTATTTAAATTAATCAAGTTAGAGCCACTTAAAGTTCTTATTTGATTAGTTTAAATTTGTGGACACCCTGTATAACATGGTAAGTTTACTATCATTGGAATATAAAATATTATATCTTGTTACACTTCACTATAAATTACGCTTACATAACTTAAATACTTCTAAAGTATTTGACACGTAAAAATTATATCAGATTTTGATTAAATTCGTATTATTTAAAAAACCTTAAGATTTAGGTATTATAAGCCTTATTAAAACATACACTTATTTTGTTCAGCGAATCCAAAAATGCAATAATGTACAGGACATTCCATTTAAAAAAACGCAACTTTGATACCTTTAGAGCCTTTGGGACACCCTGTACATTACAAAAATATTTTTAAAATGTGCGCTTGGTAGGCGTCGGACAATTCATAAAATAATACTTTTTAAAAATCAAACGGTTTATCCGCAAACTTCCGTGCCGTATAGCGTGAATAACCCTGTATTTAATTTATTATCTTCTTCCTTTGTCCGTTATGGGCTCTCCAGGCCTGTTCCTTCCTCGGTTTAATTGCCTCGTTTTCCGATGTTATCGCTCCAGCGACTCCTTGGGCGTTCCATGCTTCATCTTCCAATTGGTAACTTGCGTCTTGCTATTCTGACAATTCTCTTCTAGTTCATTCTCCTGATAGTTGGCCTCATTCTTGTTTTCTTTATTTTAACCACTGGCTAATGTTTTCTACATTATATGTTTGCTTCATGTTGGCGCTTCTTTGTTTGTCAAGTAAGGTTTTACCCGCAATTTTTACCCGCAAGTATTTCCGTGCTCCCCAAAAAGCGTGTTTTTGTTGTGTCCGGACGGGTTTCGGATATTTAGGTCATAATGGGTTTTACTGTTGCCTTGTACATTCTTGATTTTGGTTTTTGATTATTTTAGTTGCTAATTTTTGTTTGTACTTAGTTCGTTCTAGTGTAAGCTTTCATCTCCAAATTTTACGAGCTCGTTAGGTATTCTATCTTGCCTGGTAATTTTCGGTTTCGTAAGCATTTTATGCCACTTTCTTCTGTATCTTGTCTTATTTGTGGTGTATTTGGATCGATTCCAGCGATTCTCTTAAAGAAATCTGTTAGATACTCTTCCCATACTTCCTTTCTTATGGTGTTGATTTGATTGAATTCTGATATGTCTGTATTTTTTTGCTTGTGGGATGAAAGTGCCCTTCGATTTTTTTTCAGAATTCTGCCCAATAGTGGCTCTTCGTTAGTCGTTTTTCTAACGTGCTCGTTTCTTTTTGAATTATTTTGTATTTGGTTTCTGTTGCCTGATGTTCTACATAAGCTTTCTGTTTTTCTTTGCATTTGTCTTTGATTTCATGGCTGAACCAGGGAGTTTTATTGTGGATGTTGCTGTTCCTTACAACTTTTCTTGTGCCTAACTGATGATTTTTCTATATGTGTCTTTAGTCGATCTTTGTTTAGTTGTTGCGTGGATTCATTCCATCGAGGTTCTATATTATTCATTATTTAAAATTATATATTTAAATGCTTTGAATTTTGTAACTAATTTTCCGTAAAAAGACGTTCATTGAAATATACAAGCTCGATTTACAATTTTCCTAGCAAAATAAACGAATTAAACAAACTAATTTATGTAACAAAGAGTCGCCTAAAAACATTGTTTTCTACTGGCTTCAGCTTAATTTCGTATTCGATAAGTAGCAGCAATTATTTTGAAAAACAATGCATTTTCCTCGATCTTCTTTATTTCTCAAGAAGCAACTAACCAAAGACCAAATAGCCAAACAATCTTATTTAAGATTAATGACAGTGAGAAACTTTCGTTTCGGCTAAGCTTTAAAAATTTATTAGGTCGACCTAATTGACACAATTCATGAAAAACTATGCCACATACAACGGAAAGCTGTTAGGAAAGACATAATTCCTGGCAAAGTTTTTTATTGGCGGTTGCTTCCACTTTTCTGAATGTCAATTCGCGTTCATTATCACTTGCCTGTTTTTTGGGGGATTAAATCAAACAAATCAATAGGTTAAAATTGTATGATAATTGTGGGTTTTCGAGGATTTAAGAAGATATGTATAACTAATAATGCAAGCTTCAGTTTGTTAATTGCTGCAATTAATTTAATAAGGTTTAATATGTTCATAATAGTTGATGATAAGTGTAAGGGAGTGTACTTGAAATTGTTCTTGCTTCTGATAATAAATTCTGATGGCTTCTGAATAATGCAGAAATCGAATGAAACACAGGGCGTTACTAAAAATAAAACAGTTGGTATTGGCCATTGTTAATGATAAGCCCTATATACAGAGTTTCGGAAAAAAATGCTTGACTAAAAATGCCATTCGACGTATGCAAGCGTTTCTTGGATCACACCTCCATTTATTTATTATCCATTTTGTCATTTGGATAATGTACACTGTATATTATGTGGTCGTAACAAAGTTACTAAATTTTCAAGCCCAGTTAACTCAGTTAGACGTAAAAAAAATGCATTTTGTCTACATAAATATTCATAATTGCTTTGGAAATTATTTACTTTTCAGTCGTAAATATTTAGCACAGTTGAACGTTTTAGGCGTATCCATAACAAGCACTCGAAACTATTAGTTCCAGTAACCTGAGTTTTTTATTTCACTGTATTTAAGCATTTTAAATATTAGCTTTAGGAGTGTCTTTTGCAAGTTGAACCCAGTAATGCTTATTAAATTCGAAACAGGAAGAAGTTTGCTGGTGCTTTAGAAGCTTGCTGGCGACGATTACCAGTAAACCTGAAATTTTATTGAAATTGTATGCCTATTTTGTTCTCCCCTCTGAATCTCCCCAAATAATCCAGCGAAAAATGTATACGAACATATTTTATATATTATAAACTTACAATCTAAAATAATGAATATACACTGTAGAAATGTAAATCTATGGTACATTATGCACTTAATAATGTCTTGCACTTAGTGGAAATTTCGGAAACATAACTCACAGTTACCTTAAACTGTTTACTACTTAGGAAAAGTTGTGCTCCAGCACTTTCCAAAATAACTAACCAATGTTTTTATAGTTTTGTCGAAAAACTTTTAATTTTTACGTTTTTTTAATTTTAATGTACTAATTTAATAAAAGATGATAATTATAATAACGCAACTGGATAAGGCCCTACATAATTTGTCAGATCAGTCTTAAAAAGAAATATAGAAACTACGAAAACCTAGCTATAAGTTTGGCATCTCTGGCATTCATTCATTGAACCGCCTTCACGGATCGACATTCCCAGTTTAATTTCTGTGTATATCCTACATTACTGTAAAAGTCATTTTAAAATAACAGAAAATATCAAAAGAGTATTAATTCGATTTTTTAGAGCTGCTCGTCGCCATAAACCAGTAAGTTAATTTAATAGAGCATTCGTACAACAAAATATCGAGAAAATCAAGCTCGCTAACCTAAAATATTTGTCAGACAATGTCATCTGAAAAAGTATATGATACGGAGAGCGTTGTTGCCGAATGTAACGACTTAATACAACAGTTAAGAAAGTGTGTTGAGGAGTCTGGTCCATTTAAGCGAGTGATAATGGGATCTTGCAACACCCTATCCAGGCAAGTAGAAAAATGTAAAACAAGAGTGTGGAAGGCAAATCAAATGGAAAGTTTTCGTCAATCTGAAGAACGGAAGAAAAACAGCAGAAATACTTCTTAGATTTAAGGCATCTTCTTGTTGTAGTTAAAAAAAAGCTTTATAATAAACGTGTTTATAAAAATCTTCCTTTATCGTCATTTTTACACAAAATTAAACTGAAAAATCCATCGACTGCAGAGTCGTGGCGTCGCTCGAAAGCATCAGAAGCGGCAAAGTTCTTTGTTTATTCTGATAGATGTGTCGTCGAGCACAACGAAAGGTATACGCATTTTCCTCTAATTGCTCTCGACTTTACGCCCTACCAGGCAAAGGGATGTATTTTGTGTCAAAGGGCGCGGATCTAATTTTGGCCTGATGATCGGCAATTGTAGATTTTCAGCCAATGGCAGATACAGAGTGTAAGTGTTCGTGGAAAATTTTTATTAGCCGATTCCGATGAATTATGCATAAAGTTGTTATTATTAAATGTGCAATTCAATTGCAGAATACCGGGGAATGTATAAAAAATATAACTAACACAAAACGTAAACTAAAAGCACTAAGACATAAAAATCTGAATAAGCCAGCGACAAGGAAAAAAAAAATATGCGGAAGCCTTGAAGTTGATAATGTGAAAGAAAATGGATATGGAAAATTATTTTACAATTCCAAAAAATTTTAATCTTAACAATAAAGAATTAAAAATGAATGCAGGAAATACCAAATAAAAAGTTTGCTTCCCTAAAGAAAGGTAACAAGAGAACAGTTGTTGAAGTTTCCAAGAGGGAAAACATACAGAAAAATAACACACTAAAAAGTATGAATGCTTATAAAATTTTAACGTGATTACTTTCAAACGGAAGGAAAAAACATATGAATAAGAGAATTGCAAAGAGAAAAGTAATGCCAACATTTCAGAATGTTGTTTTGTAATAGATGCTGGCAGTGAAACAAGTGAGACAATATCTGATATTCAAGCCTTATAAAAATACGCATATGAAAAATAAATAAGCATATGAAATTCAAACCGTATTCATAAAAGTAAATTCGTAAAAATGCATTTACATTTGCGGGATGGAGAAAAATTATGAATAAAGTGAAGTAGACACGCTAGTGTTGCAAGAAAGAAAGTAATACCAACCATTCACAATGTGCTTTTGTAATACATGATGGCAATGAAGCAAGTGCGAAATCATCTGATTTCAAGCCAAGCCTTATACAAGCAAGCAAAATAGGTCAAAATAGATTAAAAAAGAATACAAAAAATAACATATTATAAGGTTCAAACTCTTCAAAGCGTGAAGTCAATAAGTTTTATTGAGAAAAGTTTTAATGTAAAACCAATGCCAGAAAAAAAACATTCCAACAGATTAAGATGTTATTCCACCATGGATTCCGCTAATGACACAAGTGAGAAAGCATACAAAATTCGTTATTCAAGCAAGTAAATACGCAAAAAATGCATTTAAAAACGCCACAGAAAAATAATAGGTTATAAGTTTTACAATATTCAAAAAGTAAACTCTTGTAAGGTGTAACGGGCAAGTCACATTCGATCGGAGACAAACTGTGAATAAGAGGGAGTAGAAAAGGAAAAAGTTGTAAGAAGTAAAAATGTCAGCAATAAAATATTTTATTGAATTGGAAATAAAAAATGAGAAATGAACTGATACTTGTATGAATTTATATAAGCATGTAAAATATAATATTTAATAAAAAGCCTAAATAAATAAATTTTAAAAATCAATCGGGAGTAGCTGTGCGACGACGCTGCCAGTCCGGGGAAAATTTACCATATTTTAATGAAAAAAATAGGGTTCAAACGGAAACTGTTGATGGAGAAGAATATAATAACGCAGTTTATGCAAACTAGAGTTGTGCGACATGAAAGAAATGCCAGTTTTTTTTTCAGAATAAAACCTGGAAATCACACCAATGAAAGCGTCATTGATGAGCAAAGGTAATACAATTCAATCACAGAAAAGGCCTTTTAAATTCGGCCACACTCCCAATAGGCCTGGAAAGGTTTGTTTCACGTCTGTTTCAAAATGATCAGTCAATTTGGGATTACAATACACAAACTCGGACTGCATACGACACCATCGTAACTGGGGAAAAATACTCGTATAACCTTACAGGTCATTTCCTTATAACAAGCCCCATTTTCTTATAGCAACGAAAATGTGAAAACCTAAAAATAATATGTCGCTGATAAACTTCAACAGAAAATAGACACTAGAGGCAAGAGTAAAAATGTTGGAAAATCATAAAATCTAAATTGAAAAAAACTACAAATAATAGCAGAAAGTGTGAAAGATCTGGAGCTGTGTTCTTATGAAATAATTGAATATTCAAAGATGGAAAATTTCTCAATAAGTTTCATATAAAATTGCTTAAAAAATACTATCAAAATATGAGGAATTGAGAAATACTCTATCATAACTAATATCAACCCATCGACTAATTAAAAATATAGAGTATAAAGTATTTCGGTGATTTAAGAAATAAGTAAATCGGTGATTTACTTTGTAATGCCAAGCTCTTCAACATAAGCTAATACCAAGCACTTATAAACTTCATTTATAAATAATATAAGATGCTTCAAAATGCAAAACTAATTGAAACAGAAAGATCCTTTTATGATTGCTGTTTTACATCGAAATTACCTTTACATCAGGCAGGCCGTTTCTAACTTTTTCTGAGAGATAGTACATAGATAATATAACAGATGCTTTTGGTTTCAATAGGTAAAAGCCTGCAATTTTTATATATCAAAAAAAGCTTTCAGTGCACTCTACTAAACTGGTCATTATTATCAGTGAATCGCTGATGAAAACTAATTTTATTAGATACAAATTTTTCTGACTTCCTAGAAGGAAAATATAAAAATTTTCAATCGTTTAATTTAATAAGCATTATATATATAATTATAAAGCAAAGCAAAAAATAGCTATTGGTCAAAGGTTGGGTAGGGTCCTACAGGAATTATGAATATTTAAACTGGCTTCTGCCCCTTGAAGAGCAAAACCTTACTCGGATATCACCAAATTTGGAACTTGTCGGAAAAAATCCCTGACGCCATATGTTAAAACTTGAGATTTCTATTTCGAATAAACGAAATAGTACAGATGATGCACATAACCAAAATGTGAACTGCTTTATTTTTTGAGATTATAATAAGACTAAATTTAAATTCCATGAAATAAAACTTACTGGTATTGCAAATACTCTCCTCTAGGGCTGAATATACGGTCAACCAACATCAACATGAATTCATCCGCTCACATATTGTTCACTTTCTGAAACAATAAGAAAATTAAGTCAATAAGATAATTAACTTAGGAGATACTTTACCGATAATTATAAAAACAATTAATCGATCAGGAATTACATCAACATAGTGTTATTTGGATTATTATGATTCAACGTCAGGGGCGAAGAGACCGGCCGTATAAAGTGAACGTGAAGAAACGCATTATAAATGTAAATGAGAATCCATTGAAGAAGGCTTGTGGTGTTTGCTGCTTAACTTCACTTTTAAATTGAATTTTTGGCATCCGACTGACTAGAAAAACTGATCAATTTAACCGATTGTTTATTTTATTTATTAACTTTTTTTGTAAGTCGTTTTTCTAAGTAAAACTTCATATCGTCATCAGTAACAAAATGGTTCATAAATTTTTAAATTATTTTATTTGTTTAGATTTATATTCCATATGTTTGGTGGCACTTTAATAGATTTCCTACGAAAACGAGCCCCGAACTAAAACGCGTTGGAGTTTTTTCTTGCAATATTTCTTTATTATTTATGATAGTAATATGCATAGCGTGAACCGGTTTCTGGAACTTCCCTGGATTTCTTCCGAAACTTACAGATCATTTCCATAAACACGCAATTTCAGAGACTTGACAAGCTTGAACCGGAGGGAATGGTAATCCCTTACGACTGTTACTATTTTCGAACATCCATGTCACGAAAAATTCGATAAAGCAAAAGGTCTCCATGCCCCATTTATCCATCAGCTTGTCCCTAATCACATAATATAAGACAGACGCAATATAGCCAACCTTCTGTTCTGTTTCTCATCAATAGTTCTCTGTCAAAAATAACAGCTCAGGTTGGATGACCCGGAATATGTTTTATGTTTTCTGACAACCCCTCAAGATTTGTGCGTAGTTTTTATTGGAAAAGTGTATATAGATTATTTACATAGATACCCGTAACTCTTAGCATTAAAGGACTTATTTTACAAATGTTTTTAAATTAAATTGCAATTTTATTAAGTTTAAAAGATAAAGTAAGTTGTAACATATCAATTAATGATAAAACTACTAATAATTTGAATAAAATGGTAAATATACAGTCAAAGTTAGACTACTGCTATTAGGATTTACTTAATTGCTGTTGAAGGCTTGGAAGAATAAATCATCACAATACTGATAAAACTTACAAGTCTTAAACCTAAATAAACGAATTTAAAAAATAAGAAATTGTGCAGGCAAAAAGGAGCTATCAGCATCTACATCATCAATTGTCTTGTATACTAATAGAGATCAATAAAGACAGAAAAATAATCTTATAAGGGCGTTTTCAAGATATTTTTAAAATTGGCTGCTTAGAAAAACTTTTTGAAAATAAATTGAGCAGACATAAAATGGTTTCATTGAACAGTGTACAAAATGATATCAGAATACATAATTTTAAAGTTTGTTCGAACGGATAAATATAACTCACCGTTCAAAGTGCAGTTCAATTAATAGAAGATTAAGATTTTCTATTAATTATTATTAAGCCCTGTATCATTTTTAATCTCAATTACTTTAGCCAGGTTCTAAAGAAAATTTCATTGAGAAAGCGAGCTTCACGGCACAAACGATCCCAATCTAAAGACCAGTTCGCGTGGTTTATTGCTTTTTTAAATCTCCCGAGGCAAACTAGCATCGGCATGGTAAGAAATGTTTAAAAACTATTATATCCTTTCGTGAAGAATTAATTAAACTTTTCGATGAATTGAGTTGAGAAACTTTCATTAATCTTCGTGGTATGGGAATGTTCGTCCAAAGTCCCTCCGGTAATGACAGCTCAAAGTAATTGCGTAAGTTGCGAGTTTCTGATACCCCAGCAAATTGAATGGGAAACTAGAACAGGTGATCTATTAACACTTTTTTTTGTTCTGTTTGATTGCTACAAATTATCCGGTAGAATTCTTGAAGTATTTGTTTTAGCTGAACATGTCTAGTAGTTTCAGGCTAACTGCTGGAAAGGGGAAATTGAATGAACAAATGCGAATGTCTTCTGATTATTAACAATGTCTGGATGGTTTCAGCAGAAAACAAAAAAATATAATTATAATTCGGTTTTTGAAAATGATAGAATGAGAACATTCATTTCTTGCTCCCATCGCTACCGAAATATGTAAATGGTAATTCAACATACATTCATTAAATGTTTTATTTATATAGGTACGCATAATCCTGAATTCTCAATGAAACATTTCATTATATCTTGTGTCTTAAAATTATTTCTAAATTCTTACATTTAAGCATTTAGAATTAGGCATAAAAATAATCGTCATACCTAGAGCTAGCATGTAAAAACCATGATATTTGAAGCTGTTTAATTGGTCTTAATCAAGTTCTCTTGTTATAAATGAGTACATATTTTCCTAATTTTCAAAAATGCAATTGGCAATATTAAACAGGAATTTGCTGTGCGAAGGCTGTATATCAATACTCCGACTGTTTGCTTTGTTCCAATTCGAGACATTCAATACATCGAACTAATATACCTACTTCAATTAAGCTAGATATCAGTATCCAATAAACTGCTTTAATTAGGGAAATATTGAAATTATTTATTTGTTCACTGGTGCTGCTGGTTTAACAGTACACGTAAACATTATTCACGAACTGCAATTCTTTGAGATATCGATTGCCATTTGTCAGCTCACTGAAACGTTTAATGTATGTAGTTTTTATATTTGGGACTTGTCCTTTCCTCAATTAAATCTTCTTAAATACGTCTGTATTGCCAGCTGGGTCATAAACTTCAAATTCTTCCGACGATTCGAAATCACTCGTTTTTTTAACCCCGTGCGCTTCTGTTACTCTCTACTCCAGGCCTACCATCGCTCCACAGTTTCAAAATACTATAAATATAATAAGTATATATAATGAGTCTTTATCTATGCAGTCGCCAGAGAGGCCTACAAAGCACTCCAGCGTTACCTCATAGCCCCTGATAATGATCAACGCAGATCTGAACGAAACGTCAGGAAGATATTCAAATAGTTCACATCTTTTCTGAACTGAAATTTTGACCGGCCATGAAAGCGTTTCAAGTTTAATTTGCAAGACGTTTATTTCGCATCTGTTGCAAGAATTCTCAAATTCGTTTCACATCAACCAAATTTACAAGGACTTATTTAGTCCTTAGTCATATACAGCGAGTTTTTAATAGGATTTTTAATGCGCTTTATTTTTTACGTTCATTTGAAAAGCCCGATAATGAAGGCAACAATATATCCAGAACTAGGTCTGACACCAAAATAGCACAAAAATGAATTCAAATATGAAATATTGCCGTGTCGCACAAAGCGGGCTAGTTAGTAAGCGGAACACATGAAATATAACGGAAAGTAAACACAATTTTCTGTACGAGGGAAAATCGGTAAATCCTGTTTTCAGCCATGAGTTTAATATAATGAACTGAAAAATGTTTTTCTTAGCTTTTCAGAATATTGTGGAGATACGCTCAAATTTGTAGCTTCATTATTTCGAATAATATTAACACTTTGATAAGTGATTCCTGACTGTTGTTTTCACAAAAAATGTTTTCTATTCTATGTGTTCTACTGAGACAATTAAATAATACGTCTAGTCTTCGAATTTAAAGTTCAAATTAGGCCTGTGTAACTCAATGAATTTTTAGGAGTTGGGGCAATGCAACACAAATGACTCAGTTCCGTTGCAGGAAAATCTTGATGACTTTTTTAACTTGTTTTTAGATTTATTTTAAGGGCCATCTATCAATAATATTTTTAACATTTCTTCAAAATTTCAGAATTTGCCAGTTTTAGCAAAGTTGCTATTTTTTCTAAATGCTCAATTTTCTAAAGATTCACTTAAAAATACTGACAATCATAAGGTATTTTTCGCGAAAAATTATAGAATAAATTTTATTAGAACGAAGGAGGCGAATCCTCCTTCGTCGCTTTGCAAAAAGTTTTTAAATCCCTTCTCAGCTTCGAATTTGGGACAAAAATCAAATCTGAATCTGAAATTTGATATAAAAATAATTTTATATCAAAAAACAAACTGAATAAGCGAAAGTTTAAAATAAATTATTTGGAAAACTTAAAAAATGTGGTTTTTTGGTTTTGACTAATTTTTTTGCTTTGCTGTCTGCTAAAAAACGCTCTATTTTGTAGAGTTTTACTTTAAAATACTGACGATCTGGATGTATTTTACGCAAAAAATTAAAAGATATATTTATAGCTTGGTAGCAATTTTACAAAAACTTTTTTTGGAGTCGAACTCGGTACAAAGACGAAATTAAATTTAGTCCGTTTTTCCTCGAAAACTATTAAGGGTTTTGCAAAACCCGATCACAAAACTAAAAGTTTTTAGTCAAAAGCGCAAACAAATATAATTTTCTGATGATTTTCTTCTTATTTCACAATAATGGGGCAGCCAAAAATGACAAAATTGATTTTGCTAGAAAATTCGCCTCATTCATCGGTTTGCAGGGAACTTGAGAAAATCCATTTTCAACTTCGAATATGGCACAAGAACCAAATAATTTTTTCACCGAAAGTAATTAAGATGATCTTTAAAAAAATGACCAGAGCAAAAGTTTATAAACAATAATTTTGAAAATTCGCCGCCCCTCATCGCTCTGAAAATTTTTATTTTCTTTAAAATTTAAGGTTATTCCAGTTTTAGCAAAGTTTTTAAGCGATTCTGTTTTCGCAAAAAAATCATTATTTTCTAGTTTTCCCTAAAAATACTGACAATATTTCGATATTTTAATCGGCGAATAATTATAAAATCAATTTTATTACAATACTCGCCTCCTTCGTCTCATTGCAAAAAGTTTCGAAATCCCTTTCCAGCTTCGCATTTGGGACAAGAATCAAATAATGTTCTTTCAAAGCACGAACAGAATCAGCGAAAGTTTATAATAAATTATTTCGAAAACTCATCACTTTCATTCCTCTAAAGACTGTAGAATTCGTTAAAAAAATGAGGTTTTTTAGTTTTGACCGATTTTTTTTGCTTTACTTTTCACTCAAAAAGG